GACTTGTGTGGATATGGGGAAACAACTGATCTTGAGGCAGGGTGTGACCCACAGAAAGTGCATGTATATATGCTCTTACCCTGCAGTAAATCTGTGATAATTTTCTCCTGTGTGAAAAAAGGATGAACGTATCTTTTTGCCCTATCTGATCATGCATATATGGTCAGAGCTGCTATGGATTAGCAGGTGACTTGTGGAGGTGACTCTGGATGTGGCTTTATTCTTTCTGACTCTTTGGGAAGGAGAGCTTCTGATCTTTATTACAGCTCATAGGTATTACTGTACTATAAATATATAATGTTCATATATAACAGCACGTCTCACAATGAAATGCTGTCCTATGGAGATGAGTAAAGACAGAACTCAGAATTGATACAAATAGTTTGCCAATAGACCAAAGCAGGAAAGTTCTTGGAATACGGCTTGCAATCAGACATCTAATTACAGAAGTAAAACAATTTTACAAACGGATATATTTGAGTATCGTATGGGGAACAATAATGGCAACAGTGCATCCACAGTTCATCCACGTCCTCAGAGCACTTAAAAATCAGATTCCTCAGATAAGCAACTTATTGAGTCAGAAAGGGACGCTAAGTCTGGAAATGCTGGAACTAGATGCTCTGCAGAACCAGAGAGGGATTGTAGCCCCTGGTCCTTCAGCCTGTCTGATCAGGCTTTTCTCTCACATGAATTTCAAAAGAAGCCAAAACGTCTCTCCCCTGTAACATGCCAAGTGCATCTCAGCTTCACTTATTACATGAAGGATATTTTTTGAGATGGAATAGGTATACTGGACAGATATTAACATGATTTGAGGCTTGTGTTGTTCATTTCAAGAACGGATTAGAATGCAAGATGAAGGAAATTCAACTTCCCCAGTTCAGTAAAACTGTATCACAGGAATGAAGAATAAGTGCTCACAGGCACAGAACAACATAGTTTTAATCCTATCACTCCCCTTGGTAAAAATTCTTAATTGATAGAAGATTGCAGAGAACTAGATAAATCACTAATAACTAAGGGCAGACTTACTTGATGTGAGAAGTCCTAGATTGATAAGGAATCAAAATGTGATTTATTCCATTTAATAAAAAGGCATTGGCTTTTGAAAAAAAGCAAGCAAACAAACAACCCAAAACCAAGAAAAACCACGAAGAAACCCCAAAATACCAAACAACCAAAAGTCCCAAACTCAGAAATGGAATCAGCACAAATAATTTTGAAGCAGGGCTGTACACATTTCTGGAGCAGTAAAGACTACAGAAGGACAGTTATTAGCGTTGTGGGATCACAATAAGGAAAAAGGTGTTGACGCAGATTTTCCTAGTTTTATAAGTGGCCAGCCCTAATGAAGTACACAGCCTCCTCTTGACTTGCAAAATCACTCTCCTTTTTCTTCCCACAGATAAAGCCATTGTTTTCTTTATTCTCACACAAACCCTTCAGAGAAAAAATTGAAAAGATACCCAAACGACCAATGCTGGCTGCAGAATTATGTTTGTGATCCGCTTTCAGTAAGTGATAAAGTATCCCTAAGTGGACAAAAGAGGTTGCAAACACTGGTGATTGGATTCTATTGGTCAGCAAATCTGTGAGTAATGCAATTAGTCTGTGTTTCAGATGAGGCTGTCTTTATTTTCTCCAGGTAGCTTGAAAATGGCAATACACTCCTTTTCCAAAAAGGAATTTGACCTAAGGAATTTTCTCATTCAATATGTTCTTTGCTGTAATAGGTTCTAGTAATGATGGTTTCACACAATAAAGTTATTGAAGTGATTAAGAAAAGTATGTCAATTAAAAAAGACAGTGTGACTGCTTGGTAATTAAGCTGAAATTTAAAGAAGGCTTTACAATGAATGGATCAGAATCAGCCACATTGCAATACAGCGATGGTTTTTACCTGAGTAAGCACAGTGAGGAAGGTGCCAAAAGTTAGAGATAAGACAGCATCTAGCAGAGAAACCTTGTGCTGCAGTTCCAGTATATGTTGTATACATTCCAGTAGCTGCAGTAAGACTGTGGGGTTTACTGAAGTTGCCAGTACAGGCTCTGTGTACACCACTCCTGAGTATCCACAACTTTTCTACATGCCATGTGCCATTCTCAGATGGGACAGCAAGGCACACGTGGGGGCTTGCAGCCCACCTTTAAGCTCAGTCTCCTGCAGGTACATGGAAAATATCGTGTAGATCTTAACAACCCAAAGATTTTAGTACACATTTTGCACATTCAGGAAGATTAGTCCCCTGAGCTAATACAATACGCCCACTATTTTTTAATTTTACGCTGGTTGTAAAAAAAAAAAGAGAGATTACAATTGTTAGTGACTAGCATTCCTTCCTGTACCAGAAGCAACAACACGTTCTCAGCAACTTCCTCAGGAATTCTCACTCCTCTTTGGCCATTTGTTATCAGTTCTACCAGTGATGATCATTAGCGCGTGGAGTATGATAAACTCATTACCAACATCTACAAAGCAGTGCAAAACCCCTGCATTTCCTGGCATGCATTCCCATTAAATAAAAATAATTAGCTTGTCAGTGATTTAGAACAACTGCCCGACAGACCTAGCTGAAATCTGGAATTTCCTTTTACAAGAAAAATCAGTAACAATGTAAAAGTTATGGAGCCAGACCAAAAGTCAGCGTAACCCAACATCCAGCCAGCACCAGCAGCAGCACCCATCAAGGCAGAACACAAAAACAGGGCACATGGAGATTACATCTAGACAGGTGGGTTTAAAGGTACTGAAGCACGTCCTTTCCAGTTATTTATCTAAATTTATTTGAACCTCTTCATACTTTTGGCCTCCTCATCTCCCAGTACTGAAAATTACTTATACTGTGGGGAAAAAAAAAAGTCTCAGGTTTGTTTTTTGTTTAAAATTGAAGCTTGAGAACTTCCATGACAGGACCCAAGTTTCTAGATACTTAGTCTTCAACTTGCTTAGAAGAAATGTCAATTAGTTATAGAAGAGATACTGACCAAGGGACCCCAGAGAGTGAGCATTGTGGGCACACGGTGAGGAACTGACCCAGACAGAAGCATTTCAACATAATTTGAGATACTAAACTACATCAACTTCTCAACTAAACTTAACTAATCTGCCTAGCTTTTTCAATAGACTATGCACACCAAAAAATCAGGGAAATTGAAACATCTGTGGTGTCTTCATTCACAAACAAAAGGCCACTGATTTTCTGTTAAAAAGTTGGGACAAAACACAATCTCAGTGAGCACTATTACTGGAAGAAAATTCCATTACCAAATTGAAACATCTGTGGTGTCTTCACTCACAAACAAAAAGCCACTGATTTTCTGTTAAAAATCTGGGACAAAACACAATCTCAGTAAGCACTATTACTGGAAGAAAATTCCATTACCTAAACCAACTTATTTGTCTTCAAATATTCATCCAGAACTATGCCAGTTATGTAAATAATTACTTACCATGCCTGTAACACTCACTAAATGGTACATATTTCTTGATAGGAGCAGTGAGTTATTTGTCTTGATATTTTTAATTTCCTAAGAGAAGTGCTATGATATAGTTGTTCAAATCTATTACTGAAAATTACACAAACGAAATTTAGTTTGCACTTCTAAAAAAAAATATGTAAAGGTCTGAAAACACATTCCACTGTGTCCAGAGACAGAGAAAAATTCTTGTTTCCAGTAAACAAAAGATAGGTACCAATGCACTGTATTGCACAGTACTAAGCTAGAAGAGTAATGTATTTTAAAATGAAGTTTTTCTGGGAGAAAGTCATGAATCTTCCTTGAAATAGAGCTACATTTTATAAACAATTCTGACATTTTGGACCAGAATCGTGAAAATATTTAGATACCTAAAAATGCAAATAGACAGCATAAGGAATTTTCATGTTCACTTTAGACACTTAGCTCCCCCAAATACAATCAGAGATGATTGACTGGCCTTGTCATAATCCATCTGCTAAGAACTGAGACGTGATGGGAAAAATAAGCTCCCTGCTTATATTATTAAAGAATGTTTACCATTTTATAGCAAGTAAAGCAATCAATGGCAATTAGGAACATTGCTGATTTTGGTGATCCTAAGCTGCTATTTATTTTCAAGACAATGCAAAGATGTAAGAAATAAAAGCTTACATAAATCATACCAGTGCTGCTTTCAAGTGCAGCTGCTCTCTTCATGTCAGTTGTTATTGCAAGTTGTCAGGGAGCAGTTCTTTTCACTTGCAGATAACTAGGAGATTTTTACAAAAGTGGAATTTGATGAAATGGAAAAAGCTTTTTATATTCTGACTCATTCTGATATTCACAATACCACAGAAATACAGTTAATCTGTATTAAAGCACAATTAACTGCCGGTGCAGGACACAGTGAGTTTTTAAAAAAGGCTATGAAGACTAGCCCTTAGTTAGAGTTCAACAGACTTATTACACCAATAAGCTGAGTCCAGATTTGTCATATCTTACATAAACCATATAAAAATTATCTGCCTAATCCATTTTATATTAGCCTTTCACTGCTGGAGAGATTGGGGCACCCCAAGAAAGCTATTCAGCCTTTCTTGAGACTGATACCTGAAGCATGTGAAATAAATAATGCTCTAAAGGAGTCTTGATTTCAACTGTCAAGACAGGGAGCACAGGCAACATATGTTTGGATGGAGTCATTTATATCAGATATGCTGGATGGATCACTGCCATTTAACCACATACACATATATATATATGTGTGTGTGCCTTTACACAACAACAAAAAAAGCCAAGAGTAGGTGAGTAGATCTTCATAACTTCTTATATTTACCAGAGTAAACATCAATGCCTTTATACAACAAAAAAAAAAGCCAAGAGTAGGCGAGTAAATCTTCACAACTTCTTATATTTACCAGAGTAAACATCAAGACAGAATAAAAAGGCCAGAAAGTTATGTAGCTCATGGCCACTTCCTCACTTTGCACAGCTTGTTTGCTTTGCAGTTTATGAGACGGGGATACAGAGACACTCACAGGTTGATAGATCTTGATAAGATGACAGACACCGTCAGAAGGATGCACCCACAGGGACCAGTTTCAAACTGCAAAAGAAAAGGACTGGGTTTATTTTGTTTGTTGTGTACATCTTTTGCCCAATCCTAAAGAAATGCAAATAAAACAAAAGTGGAAAGAATTTTTCTTGTTTATGCTAAAACTGAATTTGCTGCTCTGTTTGCTAAAATGCAAGACATGTCCATACAGTGTTTGAAGAGATGTTCAGAAGATATTTTATGAGTGATAAACACAGACAAATGGGCAGCTGAAAGATAACAGGTTTAGTATCTTCTTTATACACAGTACCTGGTGAATATTCTGCTGCAGAAATACAATCAGATCTTCGTATCTCGTGGCGCTATGTAGTATTAGCTGGGAAGAAATGTAAGATATAAAAATAAATAACTGAAATAATAACAACTCACGTTTTATAACCTGAAAGCTGAACTAAGGTAGAACAAATTTTAAATCTAACTGGAAAGAGTGGAACTAACAAAATGGAATAAAGATCTAATGAAGTCTACCTCTTATTGTTGTTACTTGGTAAAATACTGCATCTCAGCACTTTGTATATTCTGAATTTTTAAATATGGCTTACTGTAATTTTGGAGTTTGTTGAACAGGCAGTTTGATTTTAACCATTGTTTATACAATGAAAAATAATTCCTAGAAGAAACATAGGAATACTGCAGCTTTACATGACATAGAATGGACAAGTAGCTCAGGAGTTTGTACGTAAATACAGGCACATATATATGTACACCTACAGCAGGCATCCATCAGAGCACTTCTTATCACACTCAGAGAATACTCCCCTGAATACCCCTATTTAACATGAAGATCTAGGCCCTTCCTTCAACATTGGCTATTTTTCCACCTTCAAGTTTTGACAGAAATGATGGTCTGGAGGACACTTTGTGAGGAAAGATCAAGCCGTCTGGATTATATTCCTTTCCATCACATTTTCACTGTGGCCACATCCATATGACCTTTGATAAGCAGGACTCAGAGGCAGCATAATGGTGTTAGTTGCACTCTGGAATAGCCACAGCTCAGAGTTATGTTAACATATTAATTAAATAATCTATATTGTCTCTTGGAAGAGCCCGTTACTGACAATTTTCTGCTGTGTTCACCCTATTTATACAGGTTTTCACTTCCAGTTGTTCCCAAACTGTCTGGTTCTGAGAAGTTGCTGACACATCCATTTCTCCATTTAGGAGGCCAGTAATATTTCCTTAAACCACTAAAGTCTGGCTTATGGAAATCGGTGTTTGCAAAGCCATTTGAGAGCTTCAGATGGAAATAAAGGCATAACTGGAAAGTATTTTGCCATTTGGAGCTACCGGAGGAAAAAAACAAAAGGCAAAGAATTCCATGTAAAACAAGAAGAAAATACTATATTTTGATGCTCATGGCCATGCTGGTCAACACAGAAAGGATCCATGTTCACTTTTACTGCAGACCAATAAAAGTTGGCAGAGTTTATAAGCCTGAAAGGTAGACAGAAGAAAAAGGACTTCAGAGAGCCCAATTTCCCACAGACACTGGGACGACTCAGAGCCGGACAGACGACAGGATTTTGTTATTTCCTAGTGGGTTTTGGATCACAAATAACTACTTCGTCATAAAAGATTTTAAAACACTAAGAGAGCAATGGAAATCAGATTAATTGTACTAAAATAAGAAAGGCTAGAAAAAGGAGAGATGGAGAATGTGACTGTGATTTACACAGAGACTTACAGTTTCTAAGATTCCATCTGCCTTGTATTTTCCTACGGGAGTGAACTGCTGTCTTCCTGATGGCCTGAAGACGATATTCAGACAAAACCAAAGCTCATGTTAAAAGGAACAAAATGGCATTAAAAAGAAATCAACATGTTATATGAACTGAATGATGAACCAAAGACTTTTTTTTTTATTATTTTTAACCACTTTTTAAAAAAAGGACCTCTTCAATAAGAAGTTCATATTACATATTGAACAAACTTTTATTGATAAAGTGTATACTTGAGCTGTGCTATGCTCTCTCAGTCTTTTTAATATTAATTGCAAGTTTCTCCCTACAGAAAGAGGATAAATATGTTTAAGATGTTAGTGACAGGGGTTTTTTTTGGAAAAGCCTATTAGAGCAATGACATTAAAACAAGCAGAAGAACATATGTACAATATCATCACAGATGAAGGATTTTATAGATATAAAATGTGCAAAATATAATCTGAAATGTCTTTGCATTTGCTGCTTCTATTTCAGGTTTGAAGAAGGACTTCTGTGCTCTGTCATTTTTCAGCTATCTTAGTTGATCTAATAAAAGAAATGACCTATTCTCACAACGCTTGGCTCACGTAAACATATCGTGTAGGATTCAGTAAAGCCAAAGCTGGCCCTGAAAGTTACATGTCTTGTGTACAAGCAGCTTAACTGCATAGCACAAACTGAGTAACTAGTAGGCAGCAAAAGGAAATTAATCCCAGCCATAATAGAATATCCTGCAATACAAATTGTTCGAGTAAAATGCTGCGTCTGGAAAAATAACTCTTGATAAAGATTTTGGAGGAATCCTAGCCTCAATGAAAGGATTTTTCACGGCAATTTCAAAGAATTTGACTATTCTGTCTCAGTTACTGGGACAGCAGAAACGACATTTTGCATTTCTCCCTAAGCAATTTTAGACTGCATAAATACATCTTACACAACTTCCACTTTTGAACTATGTACATAGGTAACATACACAAGTATAGGAGCATTGTGCAATAACTAAAACTGCTTCTCTTACTTACAGTGCCACAATTGCCTTTTCATTGCCTCCTGCACGCCACAATATATCTGCAATAGCCATGGTGAGGCATTTGGTCCTGTGAACTTCTGAAGGCTGAAGACAACTGAGTCCAGGAGATGCAAGAAACAGACAAGTACCAAAATGTGTATTAGAGGGCAACAGGAACTGATCATACACAGTTCTATAATCATACCCTGAAAATTAATCTTCTAAAAGAAACAGTGGATGCTCTTTCAGAATATATATTTATAATTGGTTGGACCAAAAAACAGGTAAATGTACTTTAGGGAACAATATTCATTATTTACAACTGGTTGGACCAAAAAACAGGTAAATGTACTTTAGGGAACAATATTCTATTGGCATATAATGGGCAAGAGAAGCTAATCCATCTTTAAATCTGTAACAAAATAGTTTTAATATTCTCTAACAGGATTTTTTTATTTAGTGAATATGATTTTTAGTTTATAAAGGCTTTCATACTTGATTTCTTTCCTTTGTTTTCATTTCTTAACTACTGTATACAAATCTACACCACAATGCTTGCACCTACTACTAAACTTTATCTAAAGTATCATCTGCAATAAACACTATGCTTGCTAAACTTTAAAGTATCATCTGCAATAAACACTATGCTTGTATTTTTTTAATAAGGTATGTCCCGAAGTGGTGACCTAAAATATTATGGTCTGTGCAGCCCCGCTGTTTCAGAAATATTTTCAGTGAAATGCTTGGCTTGGAACTTACACAATGATGTGCAAAACTATGGAATGTTTACAGTAGTCTATTGATCCCAAGCATGTAAGCAACATTGCCAACACATTTCCTACAAATATTGTTTTGTGAAGCCTTCTAATACCTCCTGTTACTCTGACTTTCAAGACATGAATGGAGAAACAAAAGACTACGAGGCCAAAAGTCACAAAATGGAAAACGGGTAGATTTAAGAATAAAATCCAACATCCATGAGCCTGAAGAAATGGACAACAGATCCATGCCCTGGGGAAGCACAGAACGGGCATTTTCTCTAGAATGGCCGTCTTTGAAATGCAGATATTATCAGCCTTAGAGTGTTACCAGCACGGGAGATGATGTCAAAACCTGTTCCCAGCATTTGAGTAAAAGATCTAATAATTCAAAAGACTAAACAAGAAACACCAAACATCAAAAAATTAAACAGACTTTCAAGTTCAATGTCTGCCTTGAATAAAACATTCATTTAGAGAATTGTTCCCTCTCTGAAGGATGTGAGATATGGGAAATAATTGGTGAGAGTTTTCAAGTGAAAAAAAATATAATCACAACTTTCTCTTATCTCTGCCGGTGTTCTAATACAGATACTCAGAAATTTATGGGAAGCATAGCAGCTAATTTAGTGTCTGAGAGAGTTAGCAAATTAAGAAGTAGACATGATAATTATTTCTTGAACGTTGAAGAAGCCTGAAGTGAAACACTTACTGTGAAGCGGCTAATAATTTGAAAATTCAGGTTAGAAGTAGAAAGGAATATTAATCCTCTCATTTCAAGTTCTGAGACTTCCCTTTCTTTCTGCCTGACTAAGAGTTTCTGCCCATGGCAGAAAAGTATGTTTATCTCATGAATAAAACAGTCCACCTTGCTATTAATTTTTAGGAGCCTGGAGGCTTTTAGCATTTCTGTGCATAAAGACAAAGAGCTCACTTGCTAACCTGAAATTCCTTGGAGACTTTCTACATGCTTCAGCAGCATTTTTCATATACAAACTATGTAAAACCAAAATATTTTAAAACCACGTAGATAATAGGAAGGAGAACATAGGAGAGACAAATATTGCCAAGTAAACAGGAGAGGTTGCAGCTGACACAAGTTGGGACACTTATAGCTTAAACAATCTGGCCTCAATCCACTTATTTGGGTGCCACATAATTTTATGACATTTATGATCACTGAACCACGTTGAAGAAGGAAAAGGTTAACATCTCTATTTTTACATCGGATGACCCAAGACTGAAAGGGTCCAAGGAGCAGATGATCAAAGGCTGTCCTTCAAGCTGAAAGAAATTCTTGGTATTCACAACCAGAAATAATTCTTTGGTGAATTCTGTGGAGACTCCTTATCATAAAATCTAAATATATACTGATTTTCTTCCATGGAAGTTTCTGAGTTTTTTCCTTCATGTGGACAAGAGCATCATTCTGTCTTGAAAAGTCTAGTCTCATTATAATCTGAATTAGAATAATGAAGTTTTGCTAGTTTTGCTAATTAGTCTTGTACCCACTAGTATTCCTGGACCTGGGCATCTGTGTGGACCCCCTAAGGCTGGGTAATCCTTTGATTAACTGTCACCTCCCATCCTGGGTGCTGAAGATAAATAATGATGTTCTACAGATACCTTTTTCTTTCCATTATTGTGGAAAACAGCCCAAGCAATGAATTTACATTAAGTGCCACTCAGACAAAACTAAGGAAAATCAACAGAGATCCCATCCCTTTTCTAAACAATTCCAAGCAGAAAAGTGTATCTTTAAGGCCAAGTTTTTATACATGATGAACATTTTTACAGTGTAAGGTAATGAAGGTCAAGAAGAATCTCAGCATGAAAGCTTTTCTTCTGACTAAATTGGGGGCAGCATGTCACCCACAAATACACAATGTGGTGGCAGCATAAACCAGTAAAATACTGTTATCTCTATTCAACAAACTGTACCTATAAAGCACACGAAAGCTTTGTGAAATTTTTCTTTTGTAATGGACTTAATTTCTAATGGAAAACAAAAGGCGAATACAACTCTAGCAAAAAAGACATTTTTAGACATTATTTTCCAGCACTTCTTTGAATTACCTCTGTTCTTTAGCAAAGTGACAAGTACGTTAATATTATAGCAGTCCAAGCAATTTTCCTTGACACTAGCAATATTTCACAATATTCCTTTTAAGTAAGTAGAAAATACACACACAGAATTTAAATTCAAATTCTATTAAGGAGTTTAACTGTGAAAGATTGAACACATTAGCAAGAAAAAAAATTATAGCTATAACTAATTTGTCACCCTTCCTGAGATTCTTAGCGTCAAAACCAGCATGAATTTCATGGTCTTGCAAACCTTGATTATGTTTTCTTTGAAATCATATCTCCATGGGATCTCAAGGTTAAATAATTTTCACTGGCTTCAATTCAAACTGCTGATTTTTTTTAGAGGTTCTTGGGTTAATCACAAGCAAGTAATTATACAAATAAAGCATCAACCTCTAAATTCCCACAGTTGAAAGGGAAGCAAATACAAGTAAATCATATGCTGCTTTCTTTCTCTCTCAGAGACAAGGAAAAGTTCAATAAGTTCAAACCCAAAAGGCTCCTGAGTGGCTGCAGCAGAGAAATATTTTTTTTTTTACTTCTGTATGGAAAATATTTCTGATGTTAATTGCTGACTTACCGAGTGTCTTTATTCCTGTTACTGTCTGCAAAGATAAGCTGCTGTAGGACACAAGCTTGAACTGCAGCCAATACTCCACATGGCCCACCCTAAGGGGAAGAATGGGACACTCCATGAGCAAACCAATTTGCACTGTTTGATGCTGGTGAAAACTTTTCCAAGCCATGTGCTTCCATTCAAGCTTAAGCCATTCTTTCGTCTCTCTCTTTCCATTCATGACTTTGTAGTGCTCTCTGTTGCTCTATTTTTTTTCCAAGCCAAAGAAAATCAGTGTTACTAACTGGTACTGTGTTTCCCACCAATTTTTCCTGAAAGTGCTAGACATCTATAATGTCAAAAGAAAGTTTTTTAAAAATCTGTTCTGTGATTATGCAAACAAATGAAAGAGCTCCTGATCACTACTGAGCCACAGGCTACCTTGCACAGTATGCAACCCAGAAAATAAAGGTCCTGTAATCAGAATGTTCTGAATAATCAGAAAATGGCTTAGGTATTGATACCTTCCATATTCTCATCGATATTATGCACACATGACCTCTCTATAATTACCTACATAACTAATGAGTGAATTGTCTGAAATACATTAAGGAAAAAAGCAAGGTTTATTTCAATCTACCAGGGAAAGCCTCCCAGCCAAAAAAAATTATAGGAACCATTCTAAATATCTTCTTACAGCACCACAGAAACTTAATGAAGGAGAGAATTAAACAATTGTTCAGCTGAACTGATTTTTGGAAATGAGGACGAATATATTAACTATCTGAAAGAAACACATCTAAGCAGAACACCCTGGTGTTCCTGTTGAGGAATTTACAGCAGGGAATTTAATGGCTGGCGAGTCACTAGAAGTGATGAAACATCCTTTCTCTAGCAGCAGGATCTGGAAACACCAAAGTAACTTTTACTGTGGACCAGTAAACATTACTGCCACGATTCCTTTTGGAGTTTAAATTAATGTTTAATATCTTTTTTTCTGCTAGATTTTATTTAAACAGAAGCAGCTTTCTTCTGAGATTATCAGCCTAATGTAATATTTAACTAGACAAGGTAAGTTAATGTTTATTAGCCATTGTCCTTGCCCCAAAGCCTCTCTTCCTCCCATTTCTGTATGGTACATAATGGTCTACTTCTCTCAGGTCAGATAAAGACTTTCTGCATCAGTGCAGAAGCCAGATAAGTGTTTTGTAAAGAGTCTACTCCTTCCTTAGTCTTTACTGAAGTCCTCAGATCCCTGCTCTTAAGAGAAGAGACCTGTGCATAGATATCACAGAAGTATATGTAGAATCAAGAGAATTAAGCTGCAGCTGAGGAGGATGCATTTTTACGATGGACCTGCTTGATATTGGAGGCAGCTACACATCCTGCACTCTGTGTGTGGTCCCTGGTCTGAGTCTATGCATCAGCCAGCTGAGAAACCAGGCTGACCACCTGCATCTGACATACAGAGCAGAAGGATGGTCCACTTCTGCAAAAGAAGTGGTGACACTGCAGAGGCATTTGTTCCCTTTTTATTTTAGGAATGAGCCTCAGCATGGGACCCTCATACCTTTCAGAGGCAAAAGTTTCTTTGTGATTTCCCAGGCACTGCAGGCAATTCTTGCAACATCCCCCCACTGTGAGACAGCTCAAAAGATCAAACTCCATCTTAAACTTATTAAATATTGCCCCTACGTATCCTTTTTCTCTCAAACTCCACTCTTGATTTATCTCCTTTTATTCTTTTACCACCACGAGCTTTCAGCTGACGACATTTGTCTTCCACCCTGCAAATAACTCCTTGTCACACACACATATGTGCACTTTCTGTAGCTACTTTAAGCTTTCCTCAGAAATATTCCATCCATCACAAGTCCCCTAACAAGACTTGTGACATCATCCAGTGGTAACCAGAGGAGTGAAAGAAAAAGAAGAGTCTTTAGAAGACTTTTTTTTTTTTTTTTTTTTACTACTGAAACACACAGCCTTTGTAAACTCAGAGTAAAAAGCAAAGATCAGGTTTTTTCAAGGAAGTCATTTACAGTACCTTTTTTTGCACAATGCCATATTTTAACTGAGGTGTGTTATTAAAAGTAAAACTCTGTATTTTCCATTCTTCACTGAAGCAACAAAGACTGGAGCCAAACAAAAGATTTTTTAATTCCTATAAAAGAAGAGAAAGAAAAAAGTTCTCACTTTAAAAACAAATCCAAAACACAGGTATGTTTTCTTGCAGTAATTTGTAGAAAAGAGAGGAGGAGTGTGGAAGGGTAATGACTAACTCCCTATAACCGCCCTTTTCTCTTTTATACGGTCTGTAAATAGCAACACTCGAATGAAAAGGAGCAATTTTTTCCTTTTCCTGCAATATTCCTTCAACTCATAATGCCGTGTGCTTGCTCAGTGTAGGAAACCGTTTATGCAGATCGTCTGGGGCAGAGTTTCCCATGAAAGCATTCCAGAATATTGCCTTAAATTAACAGCTGGAAGAGCAACACCTACTAAGGGTTACATCAGGGAGAAGAGGACCCTGCTGGGCACAGTATGGAGAAAAGGCAGCCTGTTTTGCCTGTCAAAGTTGCTGGTATGAGGTAAAAGTTACCCAAATGTTTGACTGCCTATGGCTGATGGCGTATCAGCATATACCAAATTCAGATCTTAACCCTGGACAACCTGCAGCCCTGAGGAAAGGGACTTGGGGGTGCTGGTGGATGAGAAGCTGGACATGAGCAGGCAGTGTGCAGCTGCAGCCCAGAAGGCCAATCCCATCCTGGGCTGCATCAAAAGAAGCGTTGCCAGCAGGTCCAGAGAGGTGATTCTGCCACTTTACTCTGCTCTGGTGAGACCTCACCTGGAGCCTTGTGTGCAGGTCTGGAGCCCTCAATATAAGAAGGACATGGACCTGATGGAGAGGGTCCAGAGGAGGGCCACAAGGATGATCAGGGGGATGGAGCACCTCTGCTCCGAGGACAGCCTGAGGGAGCTGGGGTTGTTCAGCCTGGAGAAGAGGAGGCTTCCAGTACCTGAGGGGGCCTACAGGAAGGCTGGGGAGAGCCTGTTTAGAAAGGCCTGCAGTGACAGGACGAGGGGCAATGGCTTCAAGCTGGAGGGGAACAGATTTAGACTGGAGATGAGGAGAGGGTTCTTCACTGTGAGGGTGGTGGAGCACTGGAACAGGTTGCCCAGGGAGGTGGTTGAGGCCCCATCCCTGGAGATATTCAAGGAGAGGCTTGACGAGGCCCTGGGCAACCTGGTCTAGTTGGGGGTGTCCCTGCTGACTGCGGCGGGGTCGGACTAGATGACCCTTGGAGGTCCCTTCCGGCCTGGGCAATTTTATGATTCTATGATTCTATTCAGGAATAGCTCAACTGCAGTTAAAAGTAAAGCTGAGTAAATAAGAACAGACTGTTCAGTGTTTGCACAGTTACTCGGACCTCTTTGATCTAGAAATGAAATTGGAAGGCACCCTCATTATCTTTTCTCTGTTTTTTTTCCCCCTTCTGTCAGAACAGGAAGGAAAATATTAAAAGTATTTAATGGTTCCATTTCTGCTCAAAATAAGGAAGATACTCAAGGGAGAAACGGTCATGGGGGAATAATAAACTTGTTCTGAACCACTGTTAATTTAAAGAACTGGAGAACAAGCACATGGATAACTGACTGGAGCCGTTAATAAAATAATACAAGCTTCATTAATTAAAGCTGTTATCTGCTCTTCAAGTGCATTCTGGAATGCTTTTCTTGTGTTTTTCTGAATTTTGAACAGGCATCCCTACATTATCACTTTATCACTTGAATAGTGAATAAGGAATATACTCAGGAATTAATACAGCACGTGTTAAATCCCACAGAAACATGCAACACAGAGGAATCCATTGCAGCTTTGGCTAACTTAATTGAAATAACATTCTCAGACATCTGTTGGAATTTACCATCATAGTTAGTCTTACTTTTGCAAGAGAAATATCAATTGCCTTTGATACTACTTGAAGCATATACAGTGTTGAAAGATCCGGGTTCTTACTAACTTCTCCAGCTCTTTCTTCATCCTCAACATCAACTGAAAGGAAAAAAATAATCATATAATCTGTTGGATGAAAAAAAATATTGCTTCCCCCAGCAGGCTTAGTGCCAGGGGCTTATCAATATGACAACTAACACTTTCTTGTTATCCGTCTTTCTAAAAAAGATAATATAGTTTTAGCCAGACAGGACAGATAAATAATACACCAGTCACCCTTTACTTGATTACTTCTTCATGCCTTCTTTACACAGTCTTACCCAAGAAGCTAATAGCAAATGCAATTACTTTGAATCAACTAAGAGTTACAAAAGAAGCGATTCACTTATTTGGTTAAAGCTGCTCTGAAGAATATGATGGCAAAAGCCAAGCTGAAGCGTGACTTCACTTACCTAATTCTAGAACATCTTTCATCTGGTCTTCTTTAGAGCAATTGGATGTTGGAGACTTCCTACATTAAAATCAATCAAAAAAATGAATGACCAAATTGACCAAATGTTCACTTTTAATGAGAAAAGTTTTTGAATAAACAAGAAGAAATAGGGAGTATGCCCACACAAAGATTTTTGTGTGTGTGTGTGTATATATATATATATGGGGGGGGAGTGGAGAGAAAGAGAGGTAATAAAAGATGCAGATAGATACATATCCAATGCCTTTCACCTTCAGCTTTTAAAATACTCTATACGAAGGAGCTCAGCCTAAGTAACGTTTTTTTAGGAAGAAATAAATGGTGTTAGAGCAAAAACTTTTTCAATGGAAGAAAGTTGAACTTCAGGAGTTCATGGGGAAAAGCAGCCAGCACAGAGCAACACACTGCAATTGATTTAGGATTTCAGTCCTGTTTCAACATCACTTTCATTTCATTTGTGTGATTTCAGCACATCAGGTCCTGCAAGCTCATACACAAGGGCAGATTTGATACTGCCCTGAATTTCAAGTGGTGATATTCACATATATGTGACTGCCTCTCAGTTTGAAGGATCAGGATATAAAATGCAATTTATAACCCTGATGGGGATCAAGATGAGGTTCAAGTTGGTCATTAAATCACTTGAAATATCTTAATAATATAAGTGGGAAATGGTGTTAAACTGGCTTCCTTTACCAGGGTAATTTTTTAATCCACTAAAAAGTAGCAGTGCCCTTGTGATTTAATTGTATATTACATAAATAACTGGTTAATAATTCATATAAACAACTACTAAAAGGAGTAAGCATTTAAACTTGGCTGTGAGGTCAGAACTTAAATAGAATGCTAGATTTTTGGAGGTGAGATGAGTTTATTCTTCCTGTTGAATTCGTACCAAAATGAATTCAGAACCAAGAGAAAGTTTCAAATAACTACTGTAAAAAGTCTTTTCTTATTTTTTTTTTCAAGAAAGAGATACACCATCATTGGCCTTTGCTTTTGAAAAAAAGGTATTGCACTGACAATCCTTTCAAAAATAGTATGGAATAATTTCCTCAGCAACATTCTTTGTATGTACTATATTATTATAGCAACAACTGCTGTCATATCACATACTTTCCATTAACTTAATTTCCTTTTTCAGTGTGTGAAAGATGAATAATAACAGAACACAGACATATCACACTGAAGACTTTTCCAGTTGAAAAGCATTTTGGCACCTTTCTCCCTCGTAGTCTTTGATACCATAAGAAAAGAAACATTTCTCTTTTTCTCTAGAAAAAAGTTAAAGGATGTATGCAAGGAAACGTGGATGGCCACAATTCAGAAAAGACAGAATGGAAATGAATCACCCACGTTCCTAGGAATCTAAGGGAAAAAATAATAGGATGCCCAGCAGGTCAATATAAATAAAGAGGACTGAGAGCAAGTTTGTATAGTGGCATAAGTAATGCTGAGTTCTTGCTGAACATAACAGCACTTTTAATGTGATATAGAGTTTAATATTGTTGACTGCTGTATAGTTTAAAATACAATCAGATTCCCCCTTGCTTTTTGCTAGTACTGAATTTCAGCTGAGATGTCTTTCAGCTAGCTACTCGCTAGTATTTTCATCTCTCCTGCTCAGGGAAAGGGGTTCAATGACACTAAATTTGCCAGCAAAATGTTTTTCAGCCAAGTACTCATGTCACTTAACTGCACTTCAACGTAACCACAGTCCACATCTTTGTTTTGTTTGAGATTGCACACTATTGTCTCTTGTTTCCTAGAGAATAATGTGTTTCTTCCTAGGCCCATTTTGATCCAGTTCTGCAAAAACAGAGCTCTTAACACTTAAGAATGCAGCACTACAGGTTACAGCATCCTATCCGTCCTCAGTTGCTGCTTCAGAAGGGCTTGAGTCTCCTATAGGTACTGTATCAAATCTCACAGCTTCATTAGATGCCTTGGGTACCCCAGAGCCTCAAACAGAACTATATCCCTATGTTTAGGCATGTACATTAAATTAGGACCCTTGATTCACTGTTGTTCCAAACACTTCTCCTCAGCAGTGTTTCATCTGAAAAGATCTATAAATGAAAATAAAGTCAACTATGGTACAATTCATACACAGCTCACCTGGCACCTGTTTTTGTAACGTTATTGCTTTCTGGAAAGTCTAAAGGATTTTGGGTCTACACCCATTCCAGGAAGAACCAAGCCCGGGATGCAAAGTGTTTTGAATTCTCAAGGCACAAGGAAATTCCCATCAAGCTGAGGAAAGTGCTGACATCAAAGATTGATGTAGGGTGTTTTCTGGTTAAGTGGGGTATTTTTGCAGGTGTAGGTTCCCTCCTTAAGGGGAACTTGTGTTTCTCAAAACACTGTCAGGACATTTATTGCAATTTCCATGTCAGCAGATGGTTACTGTTCCAGGAAAATTTATTGTACACGTAAACCCATACAGTTAGAATACTTAGGAAGGGGGAAATCATCCGTCATGGCAGAAAAATGGGACAGGAAGAAAATATGTCTCATTATAAACATACTATACAGTACTTTCTCTAAATATTTGCACATTCCTATCTGATCTCCATGCATTGCAGAAAACTGAATTTACGCAGAATAGCTGAACTCGCAGAGAAAGCACTTCTCGGCACAATAAGGGCTGTACATTCCACTATTTCCTATTTATATTACCATACACAAGAGGTCAAATAAACAAAGGGCCTTAAAAAATAAACACTGATCACCAGTGGCTTTAAGGTGACTGTTTTGGTAAAACTTATTTTCACAGCCTGATTACAACAGGTTTTCTACTAGGCATATATCTTTTCTGCACAACAATTCAGTGTCAGAAGGACGCCCAGACTTCACAATGCAATCCCACAGTCTTCTGCTGTTATGCCATATACAAATATATACAATTCCTCTCAGAAACCTCAGATTTTTAGCAGTCCAAACCACTGTAACCTGACGATTTTAGCAAAATAAATTATCTTCCTGAAAGCTAACATCAAACATTAAATTGGAAGAAGACAAGAGCTTACATTGAGAAGTAGGATAGCTGTCTCGACAGGATGAGGGGTAATAGTTTTAAACTGAAAGAGGGGAGTTTAGGTTAGATAGTAGGAAGAAATTCTTTACTGTGAGGGTGGTGAGACACTGGAACAGGTGGCCCAGAGAAGCTGTGGCTGCCCCATCCCTGGAGGTGTTCAAGGCCAGGCTGGATGGGGCTCTGAGCAACCTGGTCTGGTGGGAGGTGTCCCTGCCCGGGGCAGGGGGTTGGAACTCGATGATCTTTAAGGTCCCTTCCAACTCAAACCATTCTATGATCTTATTATTAAAAAAAGGTGGATACAGATAACAACCTACTGCTGAGCACACGTACTCCACAGACATTTTACATCCTGGTAAAGTAATCTTAGGGAGAGTAACACATAGTGGGACAAAAATTCCTTGAGCTCCTGGCAAACCTACTGTGCTCCCCCGATGCTCGTATGTAGACCCAGTGAAAGAACATGGCGTGAAGCTCTACCAGGAAAATAGATATATACTGTCTGTTCTTGCTTCACCTTTCAGAAAACCTGGAGTCCCTCTACGTTTGCATGAACAAGGCAAATTCTCTGAATGCATTTTAGGCAATGAGCTGGACATTTCCAGTTTTACATCCTTTCCAAAAATAAAGAAATGATACAGAAGCCATTTGCCATTTCCAGTAATTGCAAAGTGCTTCTTCCTATGGAGTGCTGGAAAAATACTAAAAGGGCAAATGGCAGCACACACAGATGTTATGTCGAAGGCTCTGATGCCATAAATCCATTGGCACAAAACAAAAATCACAACAGTTACTTTTATTTTAGGTTCTTTTTTTTCCGGTCCAGGCATTATGTTATAAAAGGTGTTACGCAACTCCAGATTCTTGAAGGTTTTCACTACTGAGTGATTTGGCAAGTACAATCTCTCTCTCTCTTTTTGTATATGTCCTAGTTAAATCCATATTCCCCAAAGATGTCCTCGCTTTGTTTGACAGAATGTTTGACATTCTTCTGATTGCCAACCACAAGAGTCAAATAAAGACTTATTCCCCAGCTGAGCATGCTCCAGGAGGGTTTGGTTGGTTTCTCAGGGAAGGTGCCGACCACACTGTTCTTACTGTGCTTCCTGCCTACAAAGCCACACCGAAACCTTAATGAGCCCTTGAGATGACGCTATGTTCTCCTTGGTGTGGTTTAAGGACAATGCCTGGTGCTACGCACAGATCACAAACAGACAAAGGTGGAAGGAAACATGAAAAGGTAATTTACTCTTAGGCTGCTCCAACTCTGCATTCCTTTCCGCTCTTTTATCTGAAATGTTGTGCTCTGACTAAACTCCTATTTGTAGAAATGCCACCATTGCCCAATACATCCTCTTCCTCCCATAGTGGGAAAAATTTGATTAATTCCTCAGACATTACTCATACACACTGCATGTCATTGAGTACTGAAATCAGTTGGGGTTCTCTGATGGGGCTCTGATGGGGGTTATAAAATGGGGCTCCATTTTATAACACTACAGGCACCTGAGCTCAGACCTCATTTCACAGAATAGGCTACCAAGGTGATGAGTACTTTTAGGAATTTCTCATCATCTTGTAGGATCAAAACTTTATTACTTACCAAAATGCCAGATTTTATTTTGGAAAAAGCAATCTCATCTGACACACTGATTTTGGATGTAACAGTGAAATATTACTGCCCACTAGGCAACAGTACAGACTTAAAAACATTTACTATTCCTAAAACTCCTATTTTTACACCAAAATGTATAGTAGAAAAGACCAGCACCAATTGTAACTGTTGGGTAAATAACGTACTTTACAGAACTGTGCTGGAACTATTTTTCCTTTGAGTTGGAAATTTAATTTTATTTAAACAATACAATTAAAACTGGAATGTTGGTTAGTAACTTTATGAAATCTGACATTCACATATTAACCCTCATTAGGCACTGTATTTTCCTGTTTCAGTCATAGCCCATATTTAAGAGGGCAGCTGCTTCAGCTCTCTTATTTCTGT